TGAGGTCCTTGATCTCTCTTACCCCAAAGAATGGGGAAAGGGGCCCCAGAGGTGCAGGGAGTTACCATTTGATTAAATATCGTGGACCCAAAGAGTTTTGCAGAAAAAGCAATTTATTAGGCAGAGACAGAGACAGAGAGAGAGAGATAAAGTGAGGGGGGGTTCTCATGCTGTTGTTGGTGGGGATCCAGAGGGAATATCCATATAGGGAAGGAGCAGCAGAGTTTTAACCCTAGAGTTTTTCCCTCTGCATTTGTGTTCTCATCCAATGAGAGGAGTTCTTTCAAACTTCCTCTGGAATGATTGATCTTTGACTCTGATGCCAGATTAGCTGCCTGGACCGCAGCAGAGGCCCTTCCTCCCAGAGCTTTCCTCAGGCTTTTTGGACAAAGAATCCCTCCTGGATTCCTCTACCTAGCCCATGAGGGAAACCTAGACAAAGAACTTTATGCTCCTGGATAGGGACGTGGAGGGAGGCATGGTGCTGGGAAACTCTTGCCTTTGAAACCACGCCCCTCGTGGACCTGGGAAGAGTTTGTTTTTTCTTAACACTGTCCCTCACTTCTATTGGTATGCCTAATATGTCTATGTATATATGTGTTTTGTACACAATGTTTTATTACTGAAAATATATAGAGAGTTCTAATTAATTAATTGGCTTAAGAAAATAAAAGCGCTTGAATAAAATACTTTATCAGGAAAAAAGAAAATACCAGTCAAATGATTTTTTGAGTTTATGTAACAAGTAAAATCTTTCAGAAATAAGCTAGGTTTAAAATTATTGTTAAAGTAATATTCAAAATGTCTTAAGAATTGCCAGCATACCTTTTTGTTTGCATTTTTTTTTTTTGAGATGGAGTCTTGCTTTGTTGCCAGGCTAGTGTGCAGTGGCACAATTTCAGCTCACTGCAACCTCCACCTCCCGTGTTCTAGTGATTCTCCTGCCTCACTCTCTGGAGTAGCTGTGACTACAGGTGCCCGCCACCATGACCAGCTAATTTTTGTATTTTCAGTAGAGACAGTGTTTCACCATGTTGTCCAGGATGGTCTCAATTTCTTGACCTCGCAATTCACCCACCTTGTCCTCCCAAAGTGCTGGGATTACAGACGTGAGCCACTGTGCCCAGCCTCGTTCGCATTTTTTAATCAAGCAATTTTATACTATCTCTGCCAAATACTATAAGGTGTTAAAATTGGATATATGGGTTAAAATACTACAAATCAGGCCCAAAATAGAATGATTTTTGTTTGTGCAATCTTTAATGAATGATATATTGATATTGGTTTAATGAAAATAACTACATCTTGAATTTAGTAAGATGACTATAACTTCTAAATCCGTGGCTTTAGGTGGTCTAGGCCATAGGCAGTAAAGTTTGTTTTTGGAATAGACTCTTATCATTTTTGTTTCAAAGCTAACTTATATACTGAGTTTCTTCCAAAGTTAGTTCAGCCTATACCCAGGAATGAACAAGGACAGCTTGAAGGTTAGAAGCCAGATGGAGTTGGTTAGGTCAGATATTTTTTACTGTCTCAGTTATGATTTTGCAATGGCAGTTCCTTAAGTTCAAATAATGAATACTGCAGCTTTCATTAATAATTTAGATAAACAATTGAAATAAAATTTTACGTAAATGTAATAGGATAAATTTTGTAAACAAACTCATCATAATTTAGAATCAAAAGCTACGTTAAATTAAATAATAGATATTTCGTTATTTGGGTATTTTCCAATATCTATATATTTGCAGAAAAATATTTTTCCTAAAAAAAAGTGTGTCCCTCTATAAAAAGTTAAGCAAGTTTTCTTTTCTTTTTTTTTCTAATTTAAAGCTTATTTAAATGTTATAGCTAATACAAGGTAAAAGGATCCAGGAAATAGAAGAGATGTTTAAAAAAATATAAAAATAGAGAGATAGAGGGTTTTTTTTTTTTAATTTTGATAAGAAGGCTTAAGGAGAAATAATTTTATATGAAAAAGAATCTTGTATGGTAAATTTAGTCCTAGAATAAAAATACTAGTTGTTTAAGAAAGAGAGATGTTCAGGACAAACCAGAAAGTCCCAGCATGCATGAACAGTCTGTGTAACTCACAATAAGAGGATTTATATAAAAAAATAAAATATTTCATATAATCAAATTGTCTATGATTAAAGGGTAATTATAATGGTCTTTCTAGTGATTGGCTTTGATGTGAAAAAACACTTATACACAAAATAATTGGCTAGAACAATAAAATTTTCTTAAGTGATTTATTTACTCAATAAATTATGAGAAATACTAATTTTTTTAATCCAAAGTTCAACTTTTATTCCACCTTGCCATTTTCAGTTTTCTTTCCCCTTTTGAAGGGTGAGAAATAGTAACACTTTCCAAATCATTTTCAGCTTGCATAAGTTTTTTTCCTCAAGTTTTGTTTCTTGTGGGCTGATGCTAACAATGTTTTCTTAAAGGTATAAAGAAAATATATTTTACAACATAATATTCTGTGCAGTACAAAAGGTCTTTTCTTTTGCCTTTTGGTAACAGGCCTAACAGATTTTACAGTTTATTAAAACAAGTCCTATGTCATTATTATTAAGTTTTGATTTGCTTAGGAAAAACAACTGAAATTAAATTTTTTTTAAATAAAAATTATGGTTATTACATCCCTTTATCTTTTTGTATGGACGTTTAAAGTCCCTGTGACAATGAATTGCAATGCTTTGACTCCTAGGTCTAAAAAAGACATCACGTCCTGTTGAATCTTAAACAGTGACAGCAATTGAAGCCTCATCATCAGGCCTGGAAGAAGATGTTGATCAAAATAAACTTTATTCCTGAGACACAAGGCCAGAAATTAAAGCTAATCAATTCCTCAAGTCCCAAGGACGATCACGGAAGGAGGTAGGTATGTGAGATTGTAAGGGCTTATTTTGAGAGATAAAATAAGTTTAGTTTCTCTATAAATCAGTCATGAATGTCAAAGGCACACTGATGCAAGACCAGCATATGGCCCCTATGTCAGATTAAGAAGATTTCCCTAAAGCGTTAACCAACTCTTTAATAAAGATTATGGAAGTTATATCTTAAAGTCAAGATTAAAATTTTATAGATAGTTTATAAATTTTGAAAAACAAGTTTGGTTGGCTTTATGCTTTTTTCCTGAGGGCTTATTGTTTAGAAACTTAAGTCTCCTCTCTCAAAGAATGAAGGTTTTGCCTTTTAAAAAAGTCTCCTTGAGTTATCACTTGTCAAAAGATTGTCTTATTTTAAAATGATCTGTGATATCAAGTGTTTTTAACCTTTGATATTTGACAAACTTTCCAAAAGTATAGACTATGTATTTTTGAGTTAATTAATCCTTTAAGATATTAGTTTCCCTGAAGTCCAAAAATGACATATTTTGCCTTATTTGGTATAAAAATTATACACGAAATATTGTCAAATATGGAATGGTGTTCGGTTTCATTTGGGATGTGTTTGTATAAATATATTATTGGTATGTCTTCCAAAATTATGGACAACTCCTATAATTCTCATACCACATAGCACTATCAGTAATAATTATAATCGTTGTGCTAAATTATTGTGTGCCACAGATATAACAAATTTCCTTATCAATAATGTCTTTCACTATGGCTACCCTAAAACTTTGCCATTCATGGACAACTGTTGTCTTATTTTGGTCCTCTTTAAAGGGTGGTTTTATAATCAGCTATAACACTATAACAGGTGCTCTTGAATGCAGGTTTCTGATAATTTTGGAGGTTGTGAGATCAGAATAGAATAGAAACTTCCAGGACTCATGGAGAACTGAAACGTTCATGAATATCAAGCAAAATGAAATTAACTCAATGGATTGAACTAATAGAAGACTGAAGTAATGTTTTTGACTTTTTACTTGAAACGTTGCTGATCCTTGGTTTTGTTTTTTTCAGAGTCAAAGTAACTTTTATTTGGAGCTATTGATAGATTTTAACCATTTGGTATACTCTTATGAACCAAAGTTAGAACATATTTTTTTCTCTTCACCTGACTTCTGCAAAACTTGGAAACTATTTGTGAGAAGTCATAACTTATGGCAATACAGTTATTTGCATAAGTGCAATAAAAATCTGCTTTTATTTATAATGGCCGCAATTGGAAAAACTGGTTATTTTACCAAGGCTTTGGCTGAAATGGTGCATTCTTCTTTAAGGAATCGAACCTGACTTATGGAGGAAATAAAAGCCCCTTGGGAAAACCGGCCCCATACATTTGTTTACACAGTTCCTGTGCAGGTATAATGACCTGTGGTAAGTAAAGAATGCCACTTTCTGGCCGGGCGCGGTGGCTCAAGCCTGTAATCCCAGCACTTTGGGAGGCCGAGGCGGGTGGATCACGAGGTCAAGAGATCGAGACCATCCTGGTCAACACGGTGAAACCCCGTCTCTACTAAAAATACAAAAATTAGCTGGGCATGGTGGTGCGTGCCTGTAATCCCAGTTACTCAGGAAGCTGAGGCAGGAGAATTGCCTGAACCCAGGAGGCGGAGGTTGCGGTGAGCCGAGATCGCGCCATTGCACTCCAGCCTGGGTAACAAGAGCGAAACTCCGTCCCAAAAAAAAGAAGAAAAAAAAAAAAAAAAAAAAAGAATGCCACTTTCTGACAGGCCTAGGATCCCCCAGTTTATCTTAGAACCTCGAGAGTAGTGGAGTTCACCCAAGTCATAGGTATTTGACAGTACAAATCCATGGCTGGGCTTGGATTTAAAAATAATCTTATCTGAGATTTTTCTCTATAACAAAGTTCCATCAAAGCCAATTTAAAAGCCTATATAACAATAATTATTATTGCTGCACTGTACGCAAATAATCAAGCCTAGTATAATACAGCAAATCAGTACTACCATGATTTTTCTTTAGTAAAAATGAGAACCTGGAAAGAGAAAAAATATGTTTCAAAATCTATAGCACACCTAGTTTTAGATTCTAGGTTTGCCTAATATTTTTCAATTTTTATTACTTTCTACAGTTTGGACAAAATTTTAACTATTCTTGGCTACAAGTCTTCAAAAAAATGTTTTCAATTATTGCCTTCTTCCCAGCCGCCCGTTTTTCCTATTTTGGAATCACTGAAAACTAAGCTATTCTTTCTTAAAGCCCTGTAAACTGAAGCTAGACAATTTAAAATTCAGAAGAAAATAACAGTAGTCTATTCACATATATAAGCCAGTTTCATACCTTCCTACTGATGTATGGACTTCAGAGTAATGTGGCCTACATTGATTTTCTAGGATTGTTCTTTTCTCTGTGATTGTTTTCCCCTCTACCTCCACTTTTTTTTTCCTCTTCATAGGACATGAGACTCCCCGGTCTGTTAAAAAAGGAACTTTCCTAATAACTTGAAACCTACCTGTCTAGGAATAACCACACTAGCCATGAGCGATCAGATGAAATCTGAGTCCAGAGATTCTTTTCTTCTAAAACGCTTCCTTCAAAAGGGTTTTAAAAAGAAAAGGGGGGAAAATGTGAAAGGAAAATAAATCTTGGGGCCCCCAAATAACTAAGCTAAAGGGAAAAGTCAAGCTGGAAACAGCTTAGGGCAAACCTGCCTCTCATTCTATTGAAAGTCACCTCTCTGCTTATGGAGATAAATGGATATCTGATTGCCATCTTCGAAAAGGTTAATCAGAAACTAAAAAAAGAATGCAGCAACTTTTTCTTATCTACCTGTGCGCTGCAAGCCCCCTCTCTGATTGAGATTCCTGTCTTTGCTTAGAGTTGTCCCAGCTTTCTGGACCAAACCAATGTTCATCTTACACGTGCTGATTGATGTTTCATGTCTCCCTACAACATACAAAACCAAACTGTGCTCTGACCGCCTTTGGCAAATGTTGTCAGGACCTCCTGAGACTGTGTCATGGGTACACATCTTCAACCTTGGCAAAATAAACTTTCTAAATTAACTGAGACCTGTCGCAGATCTTTGAGGTTTACACTTTAAAATAGATAAAATACACAGATTTATAAAGAAACCAAATTAGTTACAGAAATATTTTTAAAAACATATTAGTGATATTTTTGATATAATTTTGATATAAGAATATATATTATTTGTGTTATCCCATTAATCAACAAGGTATACTAACATCAATTTGGAGTAATGATAAGTATAAATGGTATTTCAGGATGTTTCATGCAACAAGAATAATATGATATAAAAATGTTCATGATTTCTATGGGTAAAAAAGACATAGGACAACTAATTTTGCTGTGATTTGTTGCTTACATCCATAATAGAGGAGAATACTAATGTTCAGGTTAGTGAAGAAATACAGTTTTTTACAATCATATTTGCATATTCCTGAATTTCCCCAGATTAAGAACTCCATTTAAGAAGTTTACACAGTTTGTTCCCAGAAGAATGATTCAACCGTATCTTTTCTGCTGACACCACTACTCTCCCCAAGAGAAGAGAGATCAATCAGTCTCAATGCATTGCTTTAATGGCTTAATCTGTGGAAAAATGAAAAACGACTTGTGGCATAGCTATTGTGATACAATGTCTCTGACTTTCTATATAGTATCAGTTAGATTTCCTTGAAGATATGAACAATATGCTAGGCAAGAAACTTGGCATTATATATGCAAGGTAATTAAATTCTCAATCAACCTAAATTCCTTCTTTCCTGGAAACAAATTACACCGGAGGCTGCAAACACCAAGAAGTTGTCATAAAATTCTCTATTGAATTTGCAGAATAAATATTCTAATTACAGGCAATTAATATATGAAGAAGTTTTTTAAGTAAAACAAAGAAATACAATATTTGCATTTTTCTAACATAAGCGCTAGTAAAATATATCAAATATTATTTAATATCCAGAGAATGTTTTCAATGAACAGCTGGTAATATTCCACTAAGCTCCCAGGTCAGCCATCTTAAATTCTATAACCAGAAAACTTAGTGCATAGGAAAACCGGCACGTGACACAAGACTTACTATAGTGCTTTTATGACTTACATGTATGTGTATTCAACTTTATAAAATTTTGTTCATGTTATCTTTAGGGAAGATGTACATGAATTTTAACTAACTTATCCTACTTAGTAGAATCCTGGTGGAATACAGCAGAGGGATTACTGGCCTTCGCCATGAATTGGTGACGAGGGATTAATGCTGAGAACGCACATGAAGCTCAAACAAATCTACAGTAAGTCACGTAATAATCTGATCAAAATGGGCAAAGATTTGAATAGAATTTTTCTCAAAAGACGACATAAATGGCAGAGTGGCATATTAAAATGAAATGCAAATCAAAACTACCATGAAATATCATCTCACTTCTGTTAAAATGGACTACATCCAAAAGACAGGCAAAAACAAATGCTGGCCAGGATTTGGAGAAAAGGGAACACTTGTATGCTGTTCTTGGGAATGTAAAGTATCACAGCCATTATGGAGAACAGTTTGGAGGCTCCCAAAAAAATTAAAAATAGAGCTACCATGTTATTCACCTATCCCACTGCTTGGTACATACCTAAAATAAGAAAATTAATATGTCAAAGAGATATCGGCACTGCCTTGTTTGTTGCAACACTGTTAGCCAACAATTGGAAGCAACTAAGATGTCCATCAACAGATAAATGGATTTAAAAAATGTAGTACTGACACAAAAATGAGTAGTATTCAATTTGTCATTTGCAACAATGTAAACAGAACTGGAGGTCATTATGCTAAGTGAAATAAGCCAGGCACAGAAAGACAAACTTTATGAGTTTTCACATATTTGTACAATCTAAAAATCAAAATAATTGAACTCATAGAGAGTAGAAGGTTGGTTACCAGAGGATGAGCATAGTGGGGATTGGAGGCGTGTCAGGGGGATGGTTAATGGGTACGAAAAATAGTTAGAAAGAATAAATAAGACCGATTATTTGATAGCACAATAGAGTGACCATGGATAATAATACAATAATAATTTAGTTGTACATTTTAAATTATTAAAAGAGTATAATTTGTATTTGTAACACAGAGGATAAATGCTTGAGGGGATGGATATCCCATTCTCCATAGTGTGATTATTATGCACTGCACGCCTGTACCAAAATATCTCATATACCCCATAAATATATACAACAAAAATGCCCACAAAAATTAAAAATCAAAAAAATATACTGAAACAACTGATAAAAGTTCCATTGCTTGTATACATTTGTCTCAATTTTACATGCAGTAGTCCTTGATTTGGTTCACTTGGAGTGATATTTTGGTCATCATTAAACATTTAGTCATTTTCTAAAGTCATGATTTCAACAACTACTTTAAATATTGGAAAGGAGAGATCCCTGAAGCCATATAAGTCACTATGTTGGTACTCAATCAAGGGTGTCTACTCCCTTGAGCCAATTATATTTACCATTTCCGGAATATTTCAGATTACCCACGAATAGATTCCCTCAGAGTGTTTTCTTTATTTTTCTTTGTGTTCTTACAATCAGTCACTGTCATGGAGGTAACCAGAGCTTTTGTTTGTTTCAAAAAATTGAAAGAGCTTAACTAATTAATTACACCTCGTAGATGTAGATGCATTAAGCCTGATGTAAGTGACCACTCATATGACATCTAGGCAGAGTGTAGGACTGCTTTAAGTTAAGTTAACATTGTCTATGTTGATAAATTGGAAAAAAAATCCATTAGGCCTGCTTGAGTTGTAAAGAAGCACAACAGTGTAAGAGATGGAAGTTGTGAGCAAGATGAAGTGAGTCTGCACATGTCACACACAACTGCCCTTAAAGGCAGTTTAGGGAATAGAAGTGGTTTCCTTGTAGAGGCTTGAATAACACAGGACAGAAAAGTGCTATTCCCTTGATGTTATTTAATAACATATTAATATTTAACGATTGAGGCTGATATTTAGCGTCATTCATCAGCTTCAAGAGAAATCTATGAAGGACACCACATAAATCAATATAAGATTTGGAGCAGAATTAAATAAAAGAGAGGTTAAATAAAGGACATGGAGAGATAAAATGGAGAAGAAAAGGGTCAATGGTGGTATTTTTGTTTTGTTTTCTGTACACATTAAATGAGCAAAAGTGTATTGAAGGAGCTGTGGTTGAATAAGTTTAAACATGGCATTGTGAAGTCTTTGCAGTAAAGTTATATTTTACACATGATTAAAAGTAGATACACAAAGAGAAAGTATATGTTGGGAATCTAATTTCTAAATAAGTGTATTGTGTTTATTACATATAGGCTGAATTGTGCTGATTTCCTATATAGTTTTAAGAGTTTTATTTGCTATCATTTTGATTCTTATGAGTAAATAACTAACCTGATTGTCAACTCATGTAGAGAAATAAGATTGACACTTGAAAATGTGTCAATCGAAAGGTAACCCACAACATTTGAAAATCACAGCTGGTGGTTCTACTAAGTGGGTCTAAGATACATTTTATTCAGAAATGTGGTCATCCCATAAACCCATAAATGAGAAAGGAAGTTTGGATTGAACAATACAGTTATTTACAAAGAATGTTCCAAAAGTAGGATTGTGTTAAATTGTCAGATATTTCTCATATAGGGACTGTATAGTCAGGGTTCTCCAGAGAAACAGAAACAATAGAATAGAATGTATACATAGATATATACATGTATACATACATGATGAGATTTATTGTGAGAATTGGTTCATATGATTATGGAAGCCAAGAATTTTCTGCATGCAATCTTCAAGCTAGAGAATCAGAAAAGCCAATGGTATAATTTAGCCTGAGTCCAAAGGCATGAGAACCAGGGGAGCACTGATGTAACTCTCAGTCCGAGGCAAAAGGCTTGAGAACCAAGAAGAGGCAGCACTAATATAAGTCCCAGAACCTGAAGGTCCGGGAACCAACAGTTTCAGTGTCCAAGGGCAGCAGAAGATAGCTATTCCAGCTCAAAGACAATGAGAGTGAAATCACTCATCTTCCATGTTTTTATTCTATTTGAGCCTCATTGAATTGGATGATGCCCATTCAAACTGGTAAGGGTGTATTACCTTTATTCAGCCTGCTCACTCAAATGCCAGTTTCTTCTGGAAACAGCTTCACAAACATACACAAAAATAATGTTTTACTCGTTCTTTGCATGTTCATTAACACAGTCAAGTTGATGCACACAATTAACCGTCAGGGGAACAAAGATACATTTGCTTGACAATAGGAATGGTGCATGTGTGCTGTGAGGTAGTTTAAGAATTAATTAAAATGCAGAATGTCATCTTGAGCACTTTTTGGTTAAGGACTACTTTCTGAGAGAATATGGATTGTACAATTTATTATAAGAAATAAGATATTTATGAATTTGCCTAATATAAGGTCACATAACAAAAATAATGCTATCACAACTGAGCCAATGCTGAAAACCAAAGAAGAAAGAGAATCTGACATAACCAAGCTAGCAGCATTTGACTGAAGGAATGTGAGAAAAAGTTATCGAGTCTGTAAAATAATACAAAAAACAGCATAAGAGAGTTTTAGCAAGACATGCTTTAAGCAGGGATGAAGGGGAAATAAGAGACTAACAATTAATCAATTAATTAGTTAACTAATAAAGCATATGTTATGAGAAAAAAGAAATGAACCAGAGCCTATACCTAAGGAAGAACAAAGAAAAGAAATAATTCCTGCAAGGCAAAGGAGATGAGCTGCCATTGCTTTGAAAAAAATATTATTATTGTTGTTATTTTTTTTACTCTTGATTTCTGCCTTTTAAAAAAATTATTTATTTAACTTCAGGTGCATACTATATCTGGCATTTCTCCCCATGTTATCTCTCCCCAGCCTCCCTTCCCTCCCCACCCCCTGCTGTCTCTCCCCTACGTACCCCCGCAACTGTCCCCAGTGTGTGATGCTCCTCTCCCTGAGTCCACGTGTTCTTACTATTCAACACCCACCTATGAGTGAGAACATGCAGTGTTTGGCTTTCTGT